AGACCAATGCTCTTCTTTTTCTTTCCACAGACAAAACCAAAATACCGGGCAGAAAACAAAGAGGTTAGATTTTCAGTTGGAATGGTCATGAAGCATAAAAGGTAAGAAGTAACTAATTTATCTTCTGAAATATTCCAACAAAATATCTACATGTTTGAGTTTGAAGGCTTTATACACTTATGTAAATTTCTGAATACTGTCGAAATTTTTCAGATACAACTACATGTGTGTTATTTTTGGGTGGGATTTGACCTGTCAAGCATCTCGAGAGTGGATAATTCAAATGGGGGTTCACATGCTCCCCCGCAAAGACAAACAGCCATTCTACAACGTACTGGTGGAGGATGGAAGCATAAGATATGCTGCAGATGGTAAGTATAGAGAATTCATGCTGCAGATGGTTGTTGCATAGGAATTCATATAAAAGTAACCAGAGTATTAATGGCACTTTCGTATATTGTTAGTACAAATGTACTTGTATGCATGCAGATATTTTTTTTTTAAATCTAGCCAGTAGCTAGGAAGAAACATTTTGAATCTCATGGTACTTTCTGCTTGTTTGTTCAGGAAGGACTCTGCTAAGAAGGATATCTCTAAAGCTGATTTTTAGGTCACCTGAGTCACTCAGGTGACCTATTGCTATCCATTTTCGTCTGTCGGCGTTAACATTTGAACATTTTTAGCTTCTTCTCTGAAACCGCTTAACCAATTTCAACCAAATTTGGCATATAGCATTTATGGGTGAAGGGGAACAAAAATTGTGAATTTAGTGGTCCCTGCCCCCTCTGGGGCCTGAGGGGTGAGGCTAAAACCACCAAAATTAATGCAATCTTTAAAAATCTTCTTCTTTACTCCTGGACATCAAGCAGTCAAACTGTTGGCATGATTGTAATAAGCATTGAGCCCTCTACCAAAATTTGAATTTCATGGCCCCAGGGTCAGGGTTTCTGGTGTTAGGGCGGGGCTCTATTGACTATATAGTGAAATTGCATTAATTCTTTGAAAATCTACCTCTCTGCTCCTTGGTATTAAATAATGTAACTAAGTACATAGTTATGATGAGCAAGAGTGCCTCTTCCAAAATTGTGAATTTCATGGCCCCAGAGTCAGGGGCTCTGGTGTTAGGGTGGGGCTCTATTGATTATATAGTGAAAATGCATTAATTCTTTGAAAATCTTCTCCTCTGCTCCTGGGTATTAAATGAAGTAACTAAGTACATATTTATGATGAGCAAGAGTGCCTCTTCCAAAATTGTGAATTTCATGGCCCCAGAGTCAGGGGCTCTGATGTTAGGGTGGGGCTCTATTGATTATATAGTGAAAATGCATTAATTCTTTGAAAATCTTCTCCTCTGCTCCTGGGTATTAAATGAAGTAACTAAGTACATATTTATGATGAGCAAGAGTGCCTCTTCCAAAATTGTGAATTTCATGGCCCCTGGGTCAGGGGTTCTGGTGTTAGGGCGGGGCTCTTTAATTATGTAGTGAAAATGCATTTATTCTGTTAAATAATCCTGTCTTGTCCTTAGTGTTGAGCAGATAAACAAAGTGCATAGTACTTCTTACAAAATTTTTAAAACTTTGTGGTCCCAGGGTGAGGGGCTTTTGTGTTTCTCATTGGGGGGGGGGGGGGTCTATTGATAATATAGTGAAAATGTGTTAATTCTTTGAAAATCTTCAACTAAGTGCAGAGTTATGATGATGAGGATACCTCTTCCAAATTTGTGAAATGCATGACCCTGGGTCATGGGTTTTGGTGTTAGGGTAGGGCTGTGTTGAATCTTTAGTCATGGTACATGTAGTGAAAATGCATTATTTCTTTGAAAATCTTCTCTACTCCTTGGCATATCAAAGGCAAACGAAGTAAAAGTTTTTATAAGCAAGGATATTTTTACCAGATTTTTAAACATCTGGACCATTTGGACAAGTGTTCTGGTCCTGGCCAGGGCTCTATTAATTTGTATTCTACTGAGAAAAGTTATTCCCCTTTGCAAATCACTTTTGATAATTAATCACTATAAATAATGTATTTGAAAAGTTAATAGAATAAGAGAATTGTGCAAAAAATTTTATGATATAATACAAAAACTACTTTCATAGTTTTAATGATCAGATAGACTTGTAAATAATAGAATAATAAAAATGTGACAAAAATAACATTAAAATACCAGGAGAGGCCAATATGAGAGATTACAATTTGGGGTAAAAAATAGTATAGAATCACCAATAGTTTGTTTACAGTCTGCATGGTGATAGTGATAAATTGGGGACAGATTAGAACTTAATTTTAATATAAGTTGTTACTAAATATTAGACTTAATTAATTCATTGATCCTGATCATCCTATTTCTCTTGCTTTTGGACAACAATTTTTTAAGCTTCATCTACCAGTTTATTTTATATTCTGTGGATCCTCTAAGTTGTTGTATTATACTCAGGTGATCGTTAAGGCCCTTGGGCCTCTTGTTTATTATTTTTATTGAATTTTTTTTCTTCTTCAGCAGTGATTAAAAGCTTGTACAATGTGGCATACTAATTTTGCTTAAATTTCATTTTAATCTCTGCTGTCTATTGGGAAATTGTCATAACACAAAAATTCTATTTCAGTAAACAGAGGGACTCTCCTTTTTGAAAAGGAAGGAAACAGAAGTTTAATTTTGGCCAAAACAAGAAAAATTTTGTTGTATTTCATTTGTTTTCAATGTACATGTATATGTTATATGTTGTATACATGTAAATATATTGTCTGAATTTTAAATGTCTTTATTTGTAGAAAATCTCTATCACCCAGAAAGTTACTGTGAAATTCCTCACCCTGATGTTGGAAAATATTTCCAAGAGTTTACAGGTCGATACTATGTCATAAACAATGAGAAAGCAGAGGAATATCCAGACGATGTTCAGGAGACCCGAACCACAGTGGAGGGGAGGGGTCAGTGAGGGTCCCAGAACACAGTAGAGGGGGATGACTCAGTGAGGGAGACAACTGCAGGGATTGGACATTGAGAAATGAGTAAACTAACAATTGATACAACAGTGGCCAGTTTCTGGTATTATTATTCTATGATTAAGCTTTTTACTCATATATGCAAATTTGTATGTGTATATTTGATAGAAAATGTTGATTGATGCCTATACATGTATTTAAATTACAACAAATGTAGAATTGACAGTTAAGACATCTTTGTTTGTACGAGTAATGTCAAAATTTAAGACAATATCTATATATGGGGTTGTACAAGAGCAGCTGGACTGCTAATGACTGGTGATGCTTTGTAATACATGTAATGCAGTTATAGGATATCATTAATTTTTATAATCAGATAATATTAATGACTAGCACAGGTTTCTAGAGATTGATTTTAAATTATTATTTATGAAATGATTCTATGTCTTTCATGAATATGAATCAGGAGAGAAATTTAACTTGTATGAATAAATACAGCTTTTACCCAGAAATTTTAATGCTAATACTGCAATGCTCCCAGGGAATGATTATTGTACAAATAAATTTATTTTATGTTCTTGGAGTTTATGCAGGAATGGTGTTTATGGTTTTTATTTCAATGACAAAAGAACATAAAATGTTGACCATGTACAGTGAATACATTGATGCATGTGTAATTGCTTTGTTTTATGTTCACACAAGATGCTGTGTAATGCAATCTGTTAATATGGTAATAAAATTGTTTAAGGAAAACTTTATTTTCATGTTTAACTGATCATGAACTATTATACCGTAAAACTCATTTAGTACAAACACAGATATTGTTAATTCATGGATATAGCGAAGTTTTCTTGGATCCCCAGCTATATAAATTTTACAAATTCCTTATACGGATATAAGGAATTACGGATATAGCAAAGTAATTTCACAGGTCCCAGTGACTTCGTTATAACCGAGTTTTACTGTAGAACTCATCTGTGGTGGTGTTGACTTTTGAGTTCCTTTCAGATTTTGTTTTTTAGCCATGTACATGTAGATGACTCTTGAGACACCATTCAGTAGCAGCATCCATACCCATCAGGTTGAGCTCTGGCTAAGTTGCACATTTATTTTGAAATTTTATTTAGTTTTTTTTCTGATCTTGATTGATTTATGTAATATCTTTACCTGCAGGCTTGATGAGTGCTGACATCTTTTCAAAAATAAGGATTAAATACCATTTAATTTAGCAATAGTTAATTGCTAAATTAAATGGTATGATAAACAAATCCCACCCAAGGGTAATACTTTCCAAAGTCCTAGACAGCAGCTGTAATTTTGGAGGATGAGATTTGCATATTTTTGGAAAAAGGGAAACATATTGCACTATCATACTTACATGCATCAGTTACAATCTATTAGTTTTAGCATGCTATGATGTCATAGATGAAGCAGTTTGAGATAACCATTATGACATCATAACTGATTCAAAATGAGATACATGTATATCGGAAAAAAATTAGAGAGGTTGAAATTTTATACTTGTACGCGTACGTGTGCACAAACTTTTACGTACGCGTACACGCTTTTTGTAATTTGTCTGTTGAGATTTTAATGACGTGTAACATGAACGTGTAGATTGAATCGGTGTCTCTGTTTCAAGTATTTAGTATATAGTTTAACTTTAGTTAGTGAACAAAACATGGTTAAAATAAGTGTTCATGAAACTTAACATCTTAAATAATTAACAACAATAACAGTTTCACACATAAATTGACTAGTTTTTATTGAAAAGGCTACAAGTTTACACCTACGTTGTAGATGCCTTTTTACAAGTTGTAGGAACGTGTAGCAAACTTATCATCACCAAAACTGATGACGTAATACGCAAGAAATTTAGGGAATTCCCCTACTAGACGTACCCGTACACGTACGAAATCTCAACCTCTCTATTGTCTCTCACACCACTGGTAATATGAGAATATAATGTCATTTTTTTTCATTTGTTTGAAAAGTGATGAAGTGTGAATTTCTCTATTTAAAAAAAATTGTAACTCTTTTGAAATAGATTACTGATCAAGAAATGATTTTAGTTCATACATACAACTTTATTTCATTTTTTCATCTCATTTTAGATGTAATATAGTATATTATTTACAAAACAATGAAATATATTTAATACTTTGGGGGAAAAAAACAAAAAAAAAAAACAATTATAAGTCCATTTTGTATGTAGATCAAAATGAAACAATGATATGAAAAAAGTGTTCTGTACTCTGTGTATAGGCAGGCACATACTAGTGTTCTCTTGCAACAATTAGAATCCTTATAAACTGTCCTGAATTACTCAACAGTGTCCTCTTCTTGATAATCATTTATTTAGTACATGTACTTGATAACTAAGTTTTTTTTTCCAATTCAATCTGACAGGTATACTGTGTTAGGTGTAGGGCAGTGTTAGAAGTTCTGAATGTTGATGCTCTTTCTCATTCCCATACACTCCACATCATCAATAAATAGGGTGTTGGCCTTGACCCCTATGTCTTCTTCCAGAGCTAGCTGGTTGCGGATCAGTCCCTTGAGCGAGTCTTCTGTCTGCTTGAGTCTGTCTTGGAGCTGAGCCACAGAAGACTCAATCTCAGCCACCTCCTCAATGAGTCTATACTGGACAGGGTCCCGACACAGCTCCACGTTGGGGCGGTTCGTCCTCGTGTCCAATCTGGTCTGAGACAGCTGCATTGGGAGGACTTTGTCATCAATGGCTTTCTTCAGACGGGCAATGTTCTCCTCAATTTCCTTAATTTGTGCAACAATCTGAAAAAAAAAATAAATGAGTTATTACTAAGATACATTATGTATAACTCTTCACTTAAAATTATTTTTTTTAAAGTCTACAGCTAGGTGACAACAGTAACTCAAAGATTATTAGTTTGAATCAAAGGTGTCTTATCATTGTTGTGGTTTTATATTCTGTCCCCTCCTTAAAAAGGATATTTATCTTCATTGTGGTTTAAAGTTTAGATAGCTCTGTGATAAAGTGATGTCCAGTGTAGCAGTCTACAACTCTTAGAAACTCACCATGGAAACCAGGTTTAAGCAAAATTGCATATTAGTTTAGGAATAGGAGAGAATTTCTCTCTCTGTACAGAACTTGAATGAAATATTTTTTTTGTCATTTATGAATCAAGAGCATAGACTTACTGTTAATAAAAAAAAATCTATTACCATAAAACATTCAAATTTAAAAACTAGAATTGCAATCAGAAGATTCTGTTGCATGCTGAAGAAAAAATGCATTTATATATGATAGCTGTAATGACTTACTCTATTAAGATGGTCTTCCAGCTTGCTCTTGGTGTCTTTTGTTTCAGCAATCCTTTTGTTGAAGGCCACATTAACCTCACTGCACTGTTTGCGCATATCATTGGAGGTCTGTTGTAGGATTCCATCAATCAAGGTTCTAAGCTCCACAGAACTCTGGCGTTCTCTCTCAGCTTTCTGGATGTTTGCATCAGAGAAATCCTTCCAGTCTTCTGGGCACACAGAACTACAAATCAATATAAACAACATCATAATTTCACATGCACATGCACTACATGTATACTTTAATCTAATGAATTAGTATGCAACCAAAAATGCATCTTTTTTCTTGTTTATGAAGAAATATACATACTTGGCTTCAATTTTTGCAGCGCCATCTTTGAATTTTAATCCTGCTGAATTGTTTCGTAATTCTGCACAGTACTCATCAATTGATAAAGCTCCAAATTTATCCTTCAAGTCTTTTTCTAGTTCATATTTAGCTTTTCTGTTTAATCTGTAATAAATATAAAACATCACACTCACTGTACTGTAAGGTTTTATGGACAGGGAAGAATTTATACATAGCTAAAGTGTTCAATATTGTAAGAAAAGTGAAGGTAGGAAAAAACCTTAATATTAAGGTTGTATGTTTAACTGATTACCCTACCTGATTTGCTCAGTGGTTTGTTCTAGAGTTCTGTTAAGGAGGGCCTGCACACCTTCTATTGTTTCTACCTCTTTGATCAGTTCCTTTTGTACATCATCATGAACCAAGTCAATGGAGGTCCTCTTTTCCCTTTAGGAATTAAAATCATCATGATTTTTAAAAAAGAAAACATCATAAAATTAATTAACTGTAGTAAATTAAACTGATTATTATAGCTAGTACATCAGAAAGGTCTGTTATTGACTGGTTCAGTATCAATATAACATGGTTTGAACAACAAGATCATACTAAGCCTAGAATACGTTACTCTCAAGGTTACAGTGTCAGAGAATTCATGATCTCTCTTAAAATTTTGAAAAGGTAGACAGTCAAGGATTCATTTATAAAACTGAGTTTGCATTTTATTGATAAACCACTGAAATTTATGTCTTGACATGCAAATACACTTGTGCTCTGAATCTTACATATATTGATAAATATTTTTTTCAATTGACATATTGATACTGAAATTGCCATCAATTACAACCCTAATTCACCATATAAACATATGTATAGTACAGACCTGTTTAGTAAGCATTGCTTAGCTATGTGAAGTGGTTCAGCGGTAGCTTCCAATGCCTTCTCTACTCTGGCCTTGAAAGCAATAAGATTATCAATCTCTGTTACCAAGGCGCTAAGTTTATCATCCAGTTCCTTCTTCCAGTATTTGATGTCATCAATTCTCTGCTCTGTTGGTTAAAAAAAAAAAACAGATAAATGTAATATATTACATACTTAAAAAGTGTGGAGAGTGTACTGTAACTTTAAATTTGCAATTGTGATTGTATCCAGCACTAGCTATACATATAGTGCCTTTGTTGCCCAATTGATGATTTGACTCCATAGTGATATAAAACAGATGACCCCAGTATTAAATTTTGACCAGTACATGTGACCTTTTTCTCACTTTGCACCCACAGAACATATAGTCCATATTGCACAATCAATTAATAAACATGCATGCAACATAAAAACAATATCTAATATAAGAATAGCGAATATATGCAAAAAATAAAATAATTCAGATTTCTGCTTTGTTGTGATGTGTAAACTTTTTTTTGTAATTGCTAATTCACAGAAACTTTACCAAGTTTTTTGTTGACATCTCTCTGTGTCTTTTCAGTGCGTTTTTCTGTTTCATCAGATAAACGCTTTGACTCCTCTACGAGCCTTTCAGCTGCAGCTCGCTCTGATTCTGCATTTGCATAGTGTGTCAAGTTTGATGTTGTCCATTCAGGATGCGTAAAACGAGTTGGTCCCTGGACTAGTTTTGCCATCTTCCTGTGAAATGTTTAGCCATTTATTTTTTTGAAGAATTCTCTTCCTTTAATTTATTTCAGTTATGTACTGAACAGTATAATTTTTATAACAGAATTAACATATACTAACATTTTTTAATTTACTCCCCAAGACATAAAAAATAAATCTATTTGACTATTTTAGAAATCAAATTCAGAAAATAAATAAAACGCACAAATCTTCGATCCTAGTTAAAAATATTGAAGAAATAAATACTATGTAACTTACCTTTCGCTGATGTAAACACACCTTTTGTGATTAGCAAACCTTCATGGAGTACTTGGCAACGCTCGTTGCTACAGCAAAATGAGAGCGATTTGTTGATTGGTCAAAGTGTTGTCATCCAAATCTTTAAAGCGTTTGTAAGGTATGATAGTTAAGGACGGAGATTTAAACATTCAATTCTTTTATCGTTTTTTAACAATGATTTTGATTAGTCGGATAATTTCGCGCGGTAATTTTAAATGGTATTACAAAGTCTTTCCTTAATTAATAAAAAAATATAGTTTTATTTGTTGCTCGACGTTTAAAAAACATCCCTTTTTATTTAATTAATTAAAAACAGTAGCTTTTATTCCATATTTTTGGGCAATTTATGCAGCATTTAAACAAGTACAATAACATATGACGTAAAATTTGATGATAAAGTTACACATTTTTCTTCTTTCTAAAGCCAATTTTCTTCTTTGGAAATCTTAAAATTACTAAGAAATATCTGGATTACAGATTATGGAATATCGCATAATGCAATAATTTTTCTATAACGTTATCTTCGCCAGCAAAGTACGTGTCCGCGGCGTGTTCGAATAGTAGTAAACTAGTTTACTGTGTGAAAAAAGCGCCTTTGCCTCCACAACATACAACTTGGCAAGCGAAGGTGAGGCCTTATATAAACAACTGTTTTCCTGTTTCATGTGTGTGATGTTATTTTTCTGCTTTGACAGTCAAAAGTCTCTATATAGAGGTTTTCCATAAACAAAAAAAGTGTGACACTGTACTGAAAACTTGATGTGAAATAAACTGAGAAAAAATAATCAGTTTGACATTTTTAGTCCATTTTTTCGTCCTGATGTACGAGAGGGCAAAATGTATAAATGGACCAGACCAGGATTCAAACCCCGTAAACTTTAGACAATTTTTGTGATTGAACGTACAGCACTGTTGAATGTACATCGAAATACGATATGTTTAAAACTGCTATTGTCGACATTTTCTGTTTTAATTTTAATCACCATATTCCAGCTGTATTCAGACCATCCTGAACTGAGCCCCCGTGAAATACATGTATGTGACCATATAGGCGATTAAACTTACCTGACAGTCATATTCCTCTATTCTTATTTATATTTTATACAATACATGTATTTATATATTTATAATAGTTTTCTCAAGAAAATACCTTCCTGAAATTCAAAAAATTATATTAGTGCAAGTTTCCATCATATCTCAGATTCTTAAAAAAAATAATAACACAGGACTGTAGAATCGGGGGGGGGGGGGCTTCTTTCTCCAAGATTTCATTTCTTATTCTTCCTTGGAAGTCTGAAGAATTCTCAACAGACGAGAAAGAGAGGTTTTGGGAATTAGTGTGCCCATGACAGTGTTTCAATCTGATATACATAGAAAAAAAATCAAGCTTCCAAGCTTTAAAGTATATAGAGAGGATTTCCTTTCTTTGAATGCAGACACATATACATCAAATAAATACATGCACGTAAATTTTTGATTGCTACAGAACATCTAGACATCCTATTTTTGTGTTGAAAGAGTTGCAATTCTAAATGACAATATTTTGCTAAGGCATGTATTTTTGCAATTTATTCTCTTACTGTTTTTGTAATGCAGTTTTCAAATTACATTTGCGTGTACACGTATAAACAGAGACACAACGATATAGCATGTATTCATTTTTGTTAAACATGACAGACTATTCCTGACATCACAGACTGGGCGGGAATCTCCGTATGTGTCCATCACAGATTCACACTCGGGGTCACTGCTACCATAAGAACTGCTTTTTTCCTGACATCCTGTACACCTTACAGATTTACAAGGCTTCTTTTGTTGATGTTGCTCATGCTTTGGAGAAAGTTATAATAGTTGTACTTAATGTCGTACTGCATGTCATACCAGTAATTCACTACATGTATAAAGAAAACAAAAAAAATACCTTTATATTAAAATTTCACAGAGGCTTGTTCGAATCTGTCACAACTACTTTACTCAACAGTCATGTGACCACTACCGTCATACATATTACCTGCTATACAGCCATGTGACTGCTGGACATGATGATACCACAGGGAGGGGAGGAACAGTATCTCCCCCTCCTTCACTGTCACCTCCAACCTAAGGGCCTTTTCAAACTCTGGGTACTTCTCCAGGTCCGGATTCAGAGGATTTACTGCAATCCACGGGACCTTAAATTATGACAAAACCATAATTAAATACCATGTTGCTTCATTCCTCAAAATTGACTTAAATTTAACAATTATTCAATTCGATTTAATAATTTTACAACCTTGCATGTTTCCATATCATCTTCTATGATAAAATTCTCGCCCTTTTCTCTAAATTTCGCTGCTTGGTAAGTTTCTATACAATAAAATTGCATTTTTAAATAATAATCTCTTCATCTAAGTATATGTCAATTCATAATTTTTCCAGTTAAAGATATGTAAATCCATGATGGAATTCGTATCGATGTAGTTCACATGTATTTACCATACGGGACAAAAGCGGCATCCGTGGGTGGTATCAAAATAAATTTCTTCCACCCTCGCACAACACAGTACAGATTTTCATAGTGATCTTTGTGCACTGAAAGTACGTCAATAAATTTTATTTTCATTCATTAATAGATCTGTTTTCATGTGTGTTATGATTAATCAATTTTATCATCTCTAGGTAAATATTTAAAAAAAAAAAAAGAGAAATTTTACAAATTTTCACAAACAGGTCATTTGGTCATCTATCAATGTGTCATTATCAATCCAACTTACTAGACGTTACAGCGCGCATATCTCCCATCCAAAAGTTAACAGCGTCTGGATGTGATCCTACATATACAAAAAAGGACAATGTTCTAAACAAGGAATATAAAATATAACATCCATTTGGATTGGGTTTTTTTTAGCTTATGATGTTGAAATGATATTACTGGTATTGTAATCAGGTCATACCAAATGCTTCTGTGCCCCATGGAATGTCTGGCTCAACATCACCTATTATTTCCTTAAACTCATCAGTGAAATTTGAATTCTGTTTCTGTATGTAAAAGATTCCCTTGTATTGGTCAGGATTTTCCATAATGTTCAGGAATTCAGACATCATCATCTGTCTCTCCTCCGGCATGACAAACTTTCCCTCTGTAATAGCGTCAGCGTATCCATTGGGGGTCACAGCAACAGTAACTGTACACTCCCCTATCTTCTCTCTGCCAAATCATGTAGCAAAATCTCATATAGAATTCTTCATGAACATAGTATACATGTAATTTATGCACTCATATTTCGTCATAAACTGTCTCTCTCTTTTTTTTAAACCATTGAAATTCGTATATATAAATGTATTCATGCATTTAGAAGTGAACGTGCTATCTGACCAATATAAATTTGATTTTGTTGAATTTGTGAATTGAATTGTAGAAATAATATATTTTAAATTATTTTGTATTTAGGATTTGCTAATTTTTTATCCCCCACACCACCCCCTCTCTTAGAAACAAATTTTGGATCCGCCCTTATATACGTACGTGTTCCTGTTGAGAGTTATGTCACATAAAGTTCACAAACCTGAGATAGTCTGGCGTCCATTTCGTTAAAGCCGACCAGTGCTGGAGACCATTCCTGATCAGGACGGGTTTATTCGGAGATACGTGATCCCGATAGAAGGAGAGCGGCAGAGGGGGCTCATCTAAAACTGGAACAGTGGTGTCCAAATAAAGTTCTGTAAAATATTAACAAGAGAAATTTAGAACCCATATTCTTCCCATAATTTCTTCCCATAATTGATAAATTATGAAAGAGATCGAAGTGGGGGAGGGGGGAGGTGATCGAGAGCGAGGAAAATTAATAATTACAATTCAATTCATTTATTGATTCACCAAATATTTTGGCATACAACTATTACAGTAAATTCACATCTAGATAATTTTGTGGATTTTTTAAGGAAGTAGATTTTATGCAAATCCCCACGCAATACGACGGAAGGGAGCACATTTTCTTGTCTGAGAAGAGTCCCCCTCCCCCAGTATAAGAATTTTGCAACTGAAGTTTCAAGAAACTTTTCGTTTCTTTCCAGTCAGTTTCTCCTGTTGTAAACAGTTATATGTTTTGGCAGCACCCTAATTTAAACATGGCAAGAAAACTCGTCCTGTAAAGCTTTGGCTTGAACTCATTAAAAGTGCAATTAACGCTGATCACTGAAATACCCCTGAAAGTGATTCGAGACAACTGATGGCAACAGCTTTGAGAGGTGGATCTAAAGTTGTTCAGCTTCCCTTGTTGAAGTCAAAACTTCTGAATGTTATTAAATATCATTTCAAGTTTTCATTGTCAGGTTTTTCTTTTTAAAATGCATATTTGGAATTTAATTTAGTCGTATTCAATTCAACCCACACAAATACGTGTCCCCCCCCCCCCCCACCCCCCAAAAAAAAGGAGAAAAGAGATTGAAAGCCTCCGATTGTTCAGTTCCTGATGTTAAGATTGAATATGTTAAATTTAGGATCCCTTCCTCAAAGCTGCAGATATAATAGCCTCGCACCGCCCTTATGGGAATATCAAAGTTTAGGATTAATTGCGCTTTGATTAAGTTCTGTCTAAATCTAACCGGAGAAAATGCGCAGAATTTCTTGGGATGACAAAACGATGATACGTGTATAAAGTTCTACAAATGATGTTGAAGTTGACCAGTGTAATTTTTGATAATTAATTATCTCTCTCTCTGAACATGAGAGGGGCAGAACCCCCCTCCCTGGAATTTTCAGAGTTACTCAATTTAGACAACGTAAATTTATGTAACGAAATTTAGACAATGTAAATTAAGTAACGCAATTAAAATGAACATGAACCCCCAACCCTACCCCCTTGGAAACACGGACCACTCTTGAAACGGTAAGAGTCATGTATTCTGGGGAAGAATGTATGTAAACTTCGGAAAAAGCCCCCCCCCCCCCCCAATTCAACTTATATCGGACCATCCCTGGAAAAAATCCTGGATCCTCCCCTGCATGAATATATAAAGTGGAGGTAACTCTAAAAAAATAAAAAAAAAAAAAACAATATTTGATCTATGCGAAAAGTTGGCAAAACATAACATACATGTAACAGTAAATAACTAACCTCGAGCCTCTGATGACAAATGATCCAGCGCTTGATCAATACTATCGATTGTTTCTCCACAAAATGACATTTATCCTGTGACCCCGCGTGTACTGGGTAGAGCCTAACACAACTAGGCTAGAGAAAAGTCTCACACGGTAATTAAACTGCCTAGTAAACTTCTAATGCGCATAATACAACATGTCAGCTACTTAAGAACAGAGATAAATAAATTGACTAAATATTCGATGTTGCTTGATATCTTATCTTTATTTTCTCTTTCAGAGAATTTTTTCCGGTAAGTCTCAATTTCTTTTAAGTAAAATGAAATAAGCTGTCTAGATAGCCGTGATCGTATAGTGGTTAGTACTTCGCGTTGTGGCCGCGACAACCCAGGTTCGAATCCTGGTCACGGCAGTGGCTGTGCAGTCGCTGTTACGGCAGGACAGCAAATTTTTTCCCCCCTCTTTTTTGGAATCTCAATTACAGCTTGCACTGTGTAGTTTTTTTTATATTCAAATTAATTGTTACATGGTAAAATACATTGTAGTGTTGAAATTATTTAGAGGATTTCTTTACGAAAAATTTTGTGATAAATATATGTGTATTAGCAAATATAAAGCCTGTACTAAATGTTTTTTAAAAAAATCTTTAAAAATTGTTTTAATATCTTATGTCCTCAAGCTGTCATTTTCTTGGAGATTAACTGAGTGCTTATTTCCTATATCTGCAAATGTAGGTACATTGTATATGATCAGGTCTCACAGATTCTCTAAAAGAGAAAAGAAATGACTTATGGGCTTTATTTGTTTTAGTTTCAACTTTGGCCTCATGTTTGAAAGAAAAACAACATCAACAACAACTAAATCTGATATATTCAAGCCAGTTTGAATGAAAATAATTACATTTTAAAATTTTTATGATTTTATTCCCTTTCTGGAGGCTGTTTTCAGAAAAGCATAAAGCCAGTCTTACTCTTGCTGTCCCCCATCAGTTTCTCATTTCAATTCACGACTTAAGGTATGTCACTCGTGAAATTTGTTATATCAAGGATTTTTTGAGAAGTATATTTTGGATAAGTACTCATTTAGCATGACTCAAACTCGCTGAGAAAATGGGGGGTCAGTGTGCATCTAACTGAGCTACGGTACAATTAAGTTGACCTTTTTGCACTTAAATTGTAACTCGTTGGTTAATCACTTAAACCGTTATCATATTTTATCAGATGTCACCATGGCAATAAACATGATCTTATTTTACGTAAAATAGATTGAATAATATTTATCATTGAACAAATCATGCAAATTAATGCGCGTAAATTATTGTGTGACCTTTTTGCACTAAAAAAGTCTCATATTTGGGGTATTAAAAATCTAAATAGGCAATAGAATATTTTCTTGTATCAAACTTTTTACGACTTAAGTGCTGATCGGTCAAAAGTATCGAGTAGTTTAAAATAATGAAAGAAAAAGTTGGGGTCAGTGATGTAAATTTTGAAATATTGGTCAAAATATGGATTTTCTGGCAAAAAAAACTGTGTAAATTTTATCTCGACTTCTTTAATATATCTTCATTTTTTGGCAAAGTTTGTTGAGCGAAAGTGTAAATTTTGTTTAAAAATATAAATTGAGACCTATATCTAATATTCCAGGCATATCATAACGGAAAATATTCCCTGAGTAAAAGTATGTGAGGCTAAAGTTCCAAGATATTAAATTTAATAAATGTGTAGATTTGCAAAATTTTCTGCTTAATATCCTTCCACCACAAGAAGTAGTCCCTTACAAATCTTGCTTCTTCATGAATTTTTGAGCAGTTTTTTAATTGTTAAACATTTTAGATTGTTTAATTGAAATATGTTATAAAGATTGAATTGTAATAAATAGTTTTTAAGTAAGAGGTTCTGACTGAACTTTTCTAAAAGGCTGACGGGTGACATACCTTAATGTTATTTTTCCTTTCCTGCAGGCCATCATCTTAGAATCATAGATACTACGAAAACAAGTATATTAACTTCCTGCCGGTAGAGAGATGAGCTTGGAATATTCTTTGTTTTCTTTTTTCATAAATTACCATTTACTTTAGAATATCATCTTCTGTAAAGCAACATATCTCGCTGATTCATTAAGGCTTGATGATCCCCATTATATTATAATGTTTTCAGGAGAATGATTTACATATACTGGGCAAATGGTTTACATATAAATTCCGATTTACTATAGCAGTTATCCATTTTACATCGACAACATCTTGCTCATAGTTCACAGTTGTTTAAAATTTGTTTCATATAATCAGTCCACTGGCATGACTATTAATATTTTCAATATAGTATTATTCTTTACATATATGTTTATAAACAATGCAGGCACGTAGCATCGGGGGTGTGGGGGGCATCCCCTTCCCCACTTTTTTCCAAACATAACTTTTTACTATTGCACATGTTCACTGAAAGGCCGGTTGCCCCCTTTTTTGTTGCAGTATTGTCAAATAAGGATAATGTAGTAGTGCATGTAGGAATAAACTTGGTACTGCCCCCCCCCCCTTCCCGAAATAGCATTTTTGAGTTGGACAATCTCCCCCCCCCCTTTTTTCTGCTTGTCTCGCTTTTTTCCCCAGACATGTTAATTTTTTTTCTTCTGGCTACCCACCCTTACCACTAAAAAAATGATGCTACGTCCCTGCAATGTTGACAATTTCATGTTCTGTAAACGACCAGTTAATTCAGATAAAGTCAACTTACTTAAATAGTTCTTCCACAGGCCAGATTTACATCTCTTTAAAACCATTTCTGGATGGGAAATGTATAGGGTAAACTGATCGAAAGTCAAACATGACCGCGAGTCGAACGCATTTTAAACCTCACCTACACCTTTTGATAAACAATAAATGGTAGGCAACTCTTGATTATCTGTCTTCTTTTTTATCCATTTAATCAATTAGAGTTATCTTTTCTAAGTCGAACTCTTCTGTTAATAGTTCTAGGTGCCGGGAAATTTGAAGGTGATTTCTCCAAATTTTCTGTCGTAAATGAATTATCCATGTTGTTTCAAAGCTCCAAACATTTACCAAATAAGCTAATCAATACTTTAAAAGACAGATTTATACCAATCAATAATTTTAAAAGCTGTTTTTATATGGTTTTGGATACATAATTCGCAAAATAATTAACCAAAGCTCATTGAATTAATATCGAAAAATGATATGGAGTCGAACACCGAAAATGATCGCAAGTCGATCAGTGTTCGACACTAGAAACAACGATAAAAATACCACAATTTATACAAGAGAGAATAAAAGCTTTATAAGATTTATAAAAATTATATTATTTTAGAAGAAAATGAATCAACTCTTTCCATTCAAAAAAAAAAAAAAAAAAAACAACAACAAAAAAACAAACAAACAAAAACAAACAAACGAACAAACAAACAAACCTGTGCCACCAGTACTTTAATTATTCCATGATTCAGACCACAATTTACTTGATCATTTTAACTGTAATATAGCAAATTCAGATGTAGGCTATCTATTTTGGCAATTACGTCTAAAATCAAGTTTTAAACTTTGTGCAAAAATCCTCATGCTGGGGAAAGGAGTTTTCTTTCCTTTTTATCAACAAATTTGTGAGTTGGATTTTTTTTTAATGTAGTGCCCCCTCCCCTCTCTCGAAAAAAAAAATACCTGGGTCTGCGCCTGCCAATGTTTTCAGTGCTCTCCAGAGCCCAATACATGTTAAGGGTGGGTTCTTAATGCTTTATCCATTTACCACGACAGTGAAAAGACAAACAAAGATGAATATTTAATTAAGAAGATCTGACGCTCCGCAAGCACGAAGTATATTTTCGAACATAATATTTTACTGTAAATTTAGTTTGAAAATGTTCATTGAAAAGTCTAGTTGCAACCCCTCCCCTAATTTATTGCAGCACGGTAAAATCGCCCCGTTTTATGTAGCCAAAAAGCTTATTGTTGAAACAGTTGGACCCCCCCCCCCCTTAGAATTTTCGAGATTGGAGATAATTACTTCTTTGTTTTTGCTGGCTCATGGCGCAGTCTTCACAACAATTTTTTTTTTCAACGCATGCCCGTCGGGCATCTCATCTACTACTTTTACCAAGTTTATATGCCCTACTCAAAATTTAACTTTATGAAATAAAAAAAAAGCTGTCTTTACAGTGTATGAACCATTGTTTATACAAGAATGGACCAACAACCAAAAATTTCCAAGAGTGAAAAATATTCTTTCGGGTGGTCAAGAACATATACATGTACTTTTTATTGCTGTAATGCATTACCGAAAATTTTGAAATGTAGTAGTTTATCATTACGGGAAACATGCATGCAGTTTTTAACACACTGAATTTGGATTCCATGTAAAAATCCTACAGTGTAATTACAGTTTGTGTACACAATGTGTACACATCTCGTGCATTTCAACAACAGTAGAAAGACGACAGGGATTAGTTAGTTACGCTTCATTGCATATGACACCTGTGAAATTGATTTCAAAATGTGTATGCACTTCTTTGGTCAACTTATTTAGTAAATATATACTTGTCTGTTTTAATGATATTGTTACATTAGGTAATAAAAAATAAATTTCACCTATTTACTTGACTACTGACGGTATATTTATTTGGTACATTAAATACATGTATAAACAGGGCTGTTAAAAGAGGTCAGTGAATCTACAATAAATAATAAATCTACCAAAATTTGGTAATCATTGCTATTTTTGAAGAAATCTGGATTTAATAAACGAGTATTGAACAATTGAACATGTTGAAAAAAGGGGGGGGGGTAACGATAACTTCTGACGTAAATGTAATTTCTTTTGATTTTATTTACCGGGTATTTTACTAAACTACTATTCAAATTTTCACACACAAAAAATCAAGAAATGCCAATTAGAAACAAACAGGGAAAAGGAGCTGTCATGGAATAAAATACCGTACACACTTTAATATCAGAAACGAAAGTATAGATTGCAATCCATTGTGTAAAATATTTTTATATAAAAGTCGGTCTATAATGGAGAAAACATTACAAATGCCCAGTGGGCATGTGAATCTTCATTTTTTACATGCCCGCCCGCAATTTTACCAGGTCCCGGGCATCGGACTCCCGGGTTATTTCAAAGACTGATGGCGGGTGTGACTGGTCAACTTACTTCTCCTAGGCACCTGATCCCACCTCTGGAATTTCCGGGGGTTCGTGTTTTATATCCTTTTCACAGATTTGTATTGTCTCTAGATTTTCTTGAGATCGATTCCGTTCCCTATCTTCACCTTTTTCAGGTACGTTGTCTTGAATCTTTTTTTCGCCCCCCCCCCCCCCTTAAAAAAAACAACAATGCTGCAAGTATGTTTGCGCCAGTTCCAGTAAAAAATAAGATTTGTTGAGATCTCAGGAAAATAGGGGCCGTAACAGAGGATTAACATTTGATTAAAGAAAAAGAAAAACGAAAGCTTATAGAGATAATTTGAATGGTTTAAATCCGCATGAAAGATTTAAAAATTTCTGAAGAAATAAATATTCAACATCAAATTTTTATGCAATTTTGTAAATCGTATTATGTCTTCTGATTTTAAAATATGTCAAATTGAATTTGTTTCATGGCAAGATTGTTTAGATTGAAACTATTTTGCGTTGAATAAAGTAATCGAACTTTAAGAAAATTAGTCCTATCATAGAAAGTTGTGAAACTTCAAACAATGAATTGAGTCCTGACCACATAAATTCGCCTGAAACGAATACTTTAAGCATTCGAAATGTTACCTTGGAAAAGACTTCTAGGTGTAAAAAATGAAGATAACAAACAGTGATCGATGTCAAAAAAAAAAAAAAAAAAAAGCAAAACGTTTTTGCCATAACTTCAAATTGGGCTTCAAACATGTTCAACGGAGGATGAAAAAAAGAGAGACAAAGCATATAAAACTGGAAAAAAATGAATACAGAGAGAAATAAGATAAATCAACAGAAAAGGTGGAGGATCAATGAAAAATTTTGCAAATTGATAATGTTGACTGAATTCTACATTACATGTATTACTTTCCTCCTTCAATGTAAAATTATTTCCAGTGATTACCAACAACGTTTCACAATCTTCCTTGATATTAAAATAAATTTAATGAAAATCATGTCAAAATGTTTGGTATGAATCAAAATCTATCTATAAATGAAAAAGACGAGATTAAAAAAATCTTTTCAGAAGTTTGTCTATTTAATTTAATGTCATGAAAAGCAGTTCCTATTAACAATTATGTAATTCATGCGACTTGGAATAAATGGCGTTCGACTTCATATCTAGTCGTTCGACTTGTGGTCGAATGTGTTCGACTTACGATCATAGGCACTCCCCTGCTTAATTGTTAAAAAATATATATCTACTATACTATAAACATAACCTTGTTATGTTTATAGTATAGTAGATATATATTTTTTAACAATTAAGCTGGGGGGTGCCTATGGTCGGTGAATATAGATAGGCGTTCGACTTGCGATCAGTTTACCCTATTAACATTTTACATCCAAAACAAAAGAAAGTATTGACGTAATTTCGTACATCAAATCATCATCTACCTGTAGAAACAATGAAAGGAAAATAGATGATAACTATGACTATATTTTAGAATGTTCAGCTTTTTCAGAAAAAAGGGAAACATTTAGAAAATAGATACTGCAGTAGAGCAAATGTTGTAAAATTCCTCGAACTTAATTATATGTTGAATACAAATAAAAAAAAAACTTTGTTTTTTATTTGAAATATTTTGGAAGCTGTCTGTTTCCCCTTATTGTTCTCCTGGTGGTCCTCCATAACATAGATAACATATAAAATGTTATTTAAATATTATACCTTTTTTACATAATTTTAGTCTGTCCTTCTTCCTATCCCTCCAAGAATTGCAGCTGTAAAATATTTATTAATTTATGTATGTACGATTTGTGTGTTGTGTCTGAGCTTTAGGGTCGTTACAAATTCCTATAAAGGAGGGGTTATTATTTGAACATTACCTAAAAAGCATTTAGTCATATTTGACAGTTATGAGGTCCGTATAGGTTTTGTACCTGGCTAGACTGATGTGGGCATGACATCCATTTGCTAGGTGTCATCCCACACCAATAACAAATGAACCATAATGGCAATCAATGAATTAAAAACCTTAAAGACTGTGAAATTTGACCCTTGACCTTGTGACCACAAAATCAACAGTGGTCATATATTCCTTAAAGAGAACCAATGTACCAAGTTTGATGTCTGTAAAGTAAAATATTCTCAAAATATTAAGAAGACAATACCTCCCTAAGTCTAGAGTAGTTTGACCTTTGACTTGTGACCTCACAATTACTCCACAAGGGTTTTCAAGATATTGAGTGGTCAATATCTTCGTATGTCCAGTTTAACCCTTGACCTTGTCATGTCATAAGCACAGGGGTCATCTAATCCTTTAGGAGAACCATTGTAACAAATTGGATATGTCTGTAAAGCAAAGAGTTCGTAAGATATTGAGCGGTCAATATACTCCTATGTCCAATTTGACCTTTGATCTTAGGAAGTCAAAATCAATAGGTATCATCTATTCCTTTAAGGGAACCAATGTACCAAGCTTGATGTCTGTCACGCAAAGGGTTCTCAAGATATTGAGAAGTCAATATATTCCTATGTCCGGTTTAACCCTTGACCTTTGACTTGTGACCTCATAATCTACAGTGATCATAGATGATCTACTCAACTGGAACCCGTGTACCAAGTTTTCTTGATTGATTTTTGTGTTGTTTTCCGTTTCTTACGAGAATTTTTCACTCATATGAGACGTCACAAAATACTAGTGAAGGCTTCAGAACCTATACTCGACACCATTGAGCAGTGAGGGTTCTTTATCGTGCCAATGCCTACCGAAAGACCCGTGACTTCACTTCTAATGCTGGGCGTTTCGCGAAGGAACAATCACTTCGTGGGTTTGACGCTGCTGCAGGAACGAGAATCGAATCCAGACCTCCCGATCACGCCCTACCACTAAGCTACTGCGATCGGTACCAAGTTTGATACCTATCAAGCAAACTGAGCAGTCAAAATCTTCCTGTTTCCAGTTTGACCCTTGACCTTTGACCTCACAATCAATAGAGGTCATGTATTTTATAATGAAAACCAGTTCACAACAGTTAAATAAATGGTTTTCAAGATATTGTATTATACATTGTATAATACATTGTATTATCTTACGTCTATAGTAGTTTGACATTTGACCTTGTGAACTCAAAATCTATAGTAGTCATTTACTCTTCAGGGGGTACCAATGTACCAAGTTTGATGTCTGTCATCTGAAGGGTTCTCAAGATATTGAGCGGAACACTTGGTCTACCGACCGATGGATGCTAAACAATATGTCCCCCTTTTTCGGGGAAAGGGGATGATAATAAAACTGATGCTTGCTATACATGTTCTTTACTGATAAAACTCTTCCTTCACCATGAATCCTAAAAGAAAATTTATCTGTAGACCATGAGTTAAAACAATTTCTTCATCCATACATATGCATCAAAAGCTACAAACTAGAAAGACTGCATACAGTTGGCTATTCCTTGCTTTGTTGGTATCAGATGACTCTCACTTAAAGCAATTCTCAACTTTAGGGTAATCATAATATATGAAGTGTAAAGCCTTGTCTCTGAAGACAAGACAAAGCTAACAATATGCTTCACCAAAGACTTTTGAGTACATATAAAAATAGCAAGGCAACATTTTTTTTTATAGACACTGTAAATATATACATATTTTTCAAAAATACAAGCGAGTAAATAATAGCAATAAGAAATACATTATTTTTGGTTGGCAAAAGCTCCCTTATAAAATGGAGAAAACAAAAAGATTTAAGATTCCCACTAAAAATACAATTGTAATCTTTTAAAATCAGTCGGGATACATAATTTCTTAAAAGCACAAGATCACTTTAGTTTTTTTTCAGAACTTGGAGCAGCAATAAATGAGCTGTCATCCTCTAGCAGAAAATATTCCGTCAGCAGCAGAAGAGATGACACTCCATGCGAAATCTACATCCTTTTCCTTTGCCTTCTCGGCGCAGACGACGTATCGGATGACGGAACGACCGTTGACAGAAGCTTCCGTCAGGTGTAAGTTACCAGATTCATTAATATTACGCAGAAGTGTAGTAGTCAGTTTACTGGGTCCCTGAAAATATATGTGACGTTACGGTTCTTTGGTACTGATAAGAGAGATAACTCTTAACGGAATAAAAGTCTTTTATTCCTTTATAAATATGTCAAGTTGAAATGTCCTTTTTACCAGTTTTTCCCTGCAAGCTATGCTAAAATTGTTTGCATTTTATTCAAAAAATAAATTTTTATTTTGGAAAATTATAAGCGTTAGAGCAACATTTTATATTAGTGAACAGAGGGATTTTGAACCTTAAACTAGAAACCATTAGTCTATAAAAATTGGTAACATGACCTCTCCACGTTGCACGTATTCCAAATTTAAAAGTTTTAAAAATTTACCGATCTGGCAAAGAAAGAGTTCGGATCAGTGACATTGACCTTTAATAAGAGGGCACTAAGGTCAAGGTTTTACTTATGATACACACCATTAACTTGATATGGTCCTAAGCACAGCAAATACAAATGTATTTGACTTTTATAAATATACTTGATGTGTGTTTAAGAAAATATTCCCACTTTTTTCGGAAATATACCGAAATGTAATGTATTGCGCAAGCTTTGTTAAGAAAGCTCATGATCATTATTATCATAAAAGGTTGAATCGTCGAATATAGTAAAAGAAGATGGGCGAACAAGGCAAGCGCAATGCCTATAGTGCAACAAACATGAAGGTGAAAATTAAATCTTAATTATAACAATATTTTCTTTGATATTTCATCTAAAATTTAAGTATACTTTATGTAAAATATCTCCCTAATTTGCAAAAATCTTACTAAGTTTGAAATTATTTGCCTATGAAATAGCATACACACTACAAAGACTACAGAGGGCAAAAAGGATCATTTTCTCATATTAAAACACAATTTTTCGAAATGAGTGGCTCCATTTTTTTTCAAAGTTTATCCTCAAAGTTTGCGAAAAAATGTACATTTTTTGGTCAACAAAAAAATGGAGCAAAGACCCACTATACCTTAAAAAATACACTTTAATGACACAACATTCGCATCTTTCCAAGAAATACTAAGTCCATTTATTTAAGTGTCATATCACATTTCGATTTAAATGCCACAATTCATTAAGAGACGTGTGGCGTAGTGGTTAGCGTGTTAGTCTCAAAGGAAAATCACACTCTGGATTTTTATTGCTAGGGTTCGAACTCAACGAATACTACATCATCTTTTTAATAAGAGAGTAATTCTTGCCGGGAAAATTTTCCTCAGAAAAGTTTTTTGTCATAATTTCATAAATTTCAATATTGAGAATTTTAATCTTAATACTAAATTCACAAATTGATTCTGATTTTTATATATCTGAAGCTATAGGCATTCTGCGCGCCTTGTTCACCCATCTCCTTCATTTTTGTGTTGAGTAGTTTGTACCATCTAGTGCTAACCTTTCTTCATCGAAGAAAAACACGTACAAAGAGTAATGGGTCACATCAATCTAAGTAAATAGAAGACTCTGATGAGACTGTACCTCAACTGGGTTGTGTAAATAAAAGGGGGGAAATGTAATTCGCCTTTGTAGAACTATGTATCCTGATGATACTTGTATTGCTTTTTGTTGCAATTAAATCAAAATTGTTGGAGAAATAGCATTTTGAAAGATTTTCATATATTCCTATTTAGGAGGTATGGTATTATCGATAACTAGAATTGTGTGTCTTGTGTACCGGGTTTTATTAAAAAAGAAAAAAAAGTAGCGTTTTGAAAGATTTCAACACTTTAGTCAAATTGCAACTTTTACATCATTCATCAAAATTGTTTGAAAGAATTTCACGAGTATCTTTTAGTAACCATGGCACCAACGTTCATCGAAATCAAAAACAGATATTTACAGAATTATGTATCTTAGTAGTGTAATATGTTTACCAAGTTTTGTTGAAATCGTATTAAAATTGTAAAAGAAGTAGCATTTGTAAAGAATTTCACTGAGTCTCTTATGTTTAGTAACCAAGGCAACAATGTTTGTCAAAATCAAAAAATGATAATAAATAGAGAATGAGAAATAAGTTCTCAGTGTGGTCTACCGAGTTTTATTGAAATCGAACCAACACTGTAGGTGGATTAACGCTTAAAAAATAATAGATTATACAGATAGACAAAAGACCGGATGACAGACACACTACCATGGCGTAAGCTTCTCTAGGCTTTGTATATAATTTTTTTCTATCATTCCCAAGTCTTTGGTGAGCTCAACTGGATCACATGATCAATTATAAAATAGCTTTCAAGATAAAGCATCCAAAAGAGCATTTATTGACTGAATTCTTCTAAAATTAGAATTAATCCTCTGTAAAACAACGATAGTAATGACATCATAATAGTTTTATAGACACTGACTATAGAGTCATAATTATGCAAACACTATGCAAACTGACGGTGCCTTTTAAGGGAGGATATGAAAAGTCAAAATACCATGAACTTGTATTCGAAGATCAAGGGCATACGCCGTTAAACATCAAACAGGATATAAATCGCTAACAATACCTTAATACAAAATGCCACCAATCCTAGATTTGATTTTCCAACTATTTCGAACACATGGTTGCTTTCAATGTGGTCTTTCATCCTCTTGGCCAATTTGATATGCTGAAAAGGAAGCTACATGTAGTGTGAAATTCTACTGCCAAGTAAGTTATCTGCAGAATTTATGAAATAAACGAATCAAATCGATGTTTACCCTTCTAATAAACTCTTGTAATCCACTGATGCCGTACAAACGCAGCACAAACCACAGTTTGAGAGCTCGAAATGGTCTAGTGATTCCAATGCCCCAGTTCTAAAATTTCAAAAGATTGTATTGGTCCAGATTTTTAAATATGCGAAATTCTGATGCCTGCATGCAAATATAACTTTAAGAACGATAGGCCTAAACCTCTTTCCTAATGAAGAACAACAGCAAAATGTGTGTGCCCTTATTGTTACTTTCTTTGAATATTCAAGATTTAAACAAATAGCGATTTATCTCCATGAGAGGAAAATCTTAAATTTTCTGATGAGCAAACTTTGTCGTATTTTTTATAAGTTGTATATCACTAAGAGTCGATTCTGCAGTTCCATTTTGACTACGGGATGAAAGTAACATTAAATTCTATTTGTAATGATTTTAAATGAATATTCTAAAGTACAGCTTGTTTCCTCATATAGTTCACATCGGCCAATGAAAGCAATGGACATAAGATGACCTTGACAAATGGAAACTTTTTGAATAACTATTTTGAACCCTCTTGCCAAGTGATTCTGAAAGAGATAAATTTATTCACATGTATATTATTCTCTTTTCTTATTAAAACTAACTATTTTTAATCTCTGTCCCATACAGAGGGGTTTGCAATTTATATTTTTAAAAGGTGTTATTTACCAAATTACGGTCGAAATTGATTCAGCACGAGAAAAAAAAAAAGAAGAAAACTGACAAGTTTGAGTAAAAAAAAATGATTGCTAGACCCTCTAGTTCAATTAAATATAATTAATTAGAAGCTTTTATTCCTTTAATACACGCACTGTCAAAAGTTGTGGAAAAAGCAGATGCCTTTTATAAATACAAGTTACACAAAATACTCCAAGCTTATGTAATTACATGTAAGGGTGGTCTAAATTATCAGTTAGATATAGTTAAGTGGAAACTATATTCAAATAATACATACTCGGAAGTCAGTTGTTTCAGCTACAATGTAATACAGAAATCAATATATCAGGTTATAGCAGACAAAACAAGATCAAACTGAACAGTGTTTAATATTGTGGTATCCATAATAAAATAGCATGTTCTAGGTTGTGACATGGCCCATAACTTTTCGTCAATAAAAAAAAAGATAGCAAAAGTTTTCAAAGATGATCCTGATAGGACTTCCCTTAACCTTATACCACAAAAGAGGGAAATCGATTCATATTCAATATTTGGCCAGTCGACAACCAATTCCCGCGCGTGAGCAAAGCACAGTTTTTAGACAAATTTGGGAGTTAAAACGAATTTAAGGGTGTCAAGTGTGGTTATTCGAGATATTGTTTACAAACGTATTAATATAGAGATTTTCTTGAAAAAGTGTATTCTTTAAAATACATAAAACATATTTTTTAACTTAAATTTAAAAAAAATGCACAAATACAACTAGCACTTCAACATGTCCTACCTTGATGTTTATGTTGTAGATACGTGGCATTAGCAGCGAGGCAATCGTTAAGAGATTTTTTGTTCTTCACCCTTGCAAAAAGTAACGATAATAGTATATAGCAAAAATTTCATTCTTTGCCCTTATGAACTAGGCAGAATTCGAATTCTCTGTGGAACACTGAGATACATGTACGTATGTAAGGAAGTCAAAGTTCTCATTCTTTATCAATGCAATCTTGTATATTACTGCTATAAGGATGACTCCAATAATTGAATACGTTCTGTAATACTTAACTATATACTGAACAATATTGTGATATAATAAAAAATGACAGAGGGTGTCCTTGAAACCGTAATACTCACGGTGTGACACACATGACACATGATGTAACAGTATGATAATAATATCCCTGTAACAGTGATATACAGGGTGTGACAATATGATAATAGAATCCCGGAAACAGAGATATACAGGGTGTGACAATATGATAATAGAATCCCGGAAACAGAGATATACAGGGTGTGACAATATGATTCCTGTAAAATTGACATACATATTATTATGTTACTTAATATAAAGATGAAAGATGAGCATATATCTGAAACATTTGTTGAATTAAAAGTTTTGCAAATACAGACAAAAGCTCGTTTGAGACAAACTGCCACCGAATAAAAGATACACTGCAAATCAGATAATCAGAAGCAAAAAAATCGGTATAAGCTAACAAGAATAATGCAGGAGTACTCCTAAGAAGTTCTTTCTTTTTTTTTTTTAACAGGATCCCATCCTCTTTACAAAATAAGATAATGTACTGTACTCTCTCCATTTCAAAGAACAATTTCAGAATTCATACCCCAGTAAAAATACATCTTTAAAAAAATAAACCCTTTTTTGTCACAAAATTTTCATCATTCATCCCTTTCTCCTAGTTCATTGTAAATGAGGTATCAGGATTATTATTCATGAGTTTTAACGACTTTTTATTTACCTTGAGAGATTTTTTGAGTATATATATTCATCTGTACTTTAAAAGTGAATTACAGAAAATCAAGCTGTTGGAGCAAAAGCCTTTAAAAGGTGAGTAGCAAAAGTTATAACTTAATGAAAAAAGCAAACATTACTTATAGAATTAAGAAAAGGAATAAAAGTTTATGTGGGTTACATGTACGTAAGACAGGACTTTCTCTGTCCCCGGATGCAAGTTATTTACCAAAGTACAGCACATTCTGTTGTTGTCAGCAACCATTTGTGTGGATTAAACGAAATGGAGGAAATATTCTGCAATTCATGTTAATATAATATTTTTTGTTATGCACCCTCATATCTGTCGTTTTAATCGGTTCTCATACAAATGCATTAAACATTTAAAATATCAGAAAGGAAACGAAAATAAAAACATTTAAAAAGGATGATGTGAAATTGTGTATAAGTATTAATCAATAACCCCCCCCCCCAAAAAAAAAAAAAATCAATGAATTTTACCTCTTTCCCATTAATGAGGTAGTGGAATTCTGGGCAAATCAATGCACAACCGGCATACGCAGCATCAACGTGCAACCAGAGGTTCTCCTTCTCGCACATCTCCGACAACTCATAAACGTCATCAAAGGAACAACAAGAGGTTGTGCCCACCGTGGCACAGACCTGAAAAAGTGAATACACCTCTCTTTCTTTCTCTCCCTGTCTGTGAATGTGTGAGAGAGAAAGAGAGAGAATCCGGAATGCAAATTTGAAGCTTTAAATGAATTTAACGAGATTTTAATAGATAAAGAAGATATAATTATTATGATCAATACTTAAAACGAAAAAGGCAAAGATAACAAACAACGATCGATCTCATAAGCACAGACCCTGGAAACACCTGAGATGGGATCAGGTGTCTAAGAGGAGTAAGTATCCCCTGTCGACCGGTCATATCCGCTGTGAGCCCTCTGATCAGGTAAACGGAATACCGTAACCCGTAATCAAAATTAGTTTAAAAACAATGTCCTAACAACTGATATGAAACATGTCAGTTAAAATACGACCAAATGATAAGTTATACTTGCAAACAAGGCCATTATAATGGCCATATAGAATTCGCAACATGCTGACTATAAACGAGATTATTGAAAGTCCTGTAACATAAACTTTGTCAGTAGCCTACCTCGGTTTAAAAAATTGATCGTGCTCAAAGAATGCTCTTCCGTATATATTCAGATGGGAGACATACACACAATATGCAGGTGATATTGAACTGTTACTATAGAAATAATGGAAGGTGACGATGGAAAAGCTAATTCAAAAGTCGTCCCGTTTATAAATACAAACCAAAAGGTTGTGATAAAAATTAGGCTATACCGTCTTGTCTTAAAGGTTATATACCCTTGAGGCTACATCATGACTTAATTTTTTTTTAATGGAATACAATCTCCATTATGAAGTTTTTTTTTAAGTATAATAGTTTATATACATTTCTATTTTAATATTTTAAGATCTAGTTTATTGTATTTGAAATAAAAAGTTTGAAGGTTTGTTATCAACAAACATGACAGGCACATGACGGAAAGAACTATGTATGATAAGAGTCAATTTTGGCCCCCTTAAAATCAACATTTTAGAATGATATTCATATATGTATAATTGCTTTTTATTTTGTAGAAGAGATTATATATAAGAGAAATATTTCCAATACATTTTTTACATTTTTATGCACTCACAGGCTATAAATGACGTCAGAAATGATGCTATTTTTTGCAATCCAACCAAAATGAGACAAAAATGGGCTTTTTCTTGACGTTTTTTTTTCTTAGGGAAACATAGAGCGCAGCTTGGAACATGCATAATTTTTCTGTCAGTAATTAGTCTTGTATAGATATATCTTTGGTAAAAATATTAAGTTTGTTCAAGTCTGCGCTCAATATTTTCTGGAAGAAAAACTGCTTGAAAATAAGCAGTTTTATACAAAATACACTAAAATGGCGGGAAAACGTGAAATTTATGATGTCATATTTCTAAATTAATGGCATTTTGATCAAATTGAAAATTACCAATAAAGGTCACATGTATGGCCGTGCAAATTAGAGCTATATATAAAGTAAAATTAAGATATTCATTTTAAGGGGCCATTTGAGACACTTATCATATATTGCTCTTTTACAAATGAATGAACTCCGACAGTCCTCATCAAGTAGTACTTGAAGCATTCTTATAAAAAGATGAAAAAAGTAAATGGAGGAGTGGAAAATTGATACTTACAAAAAAGGGATCGAGTCCATTTGATTTGTCGATCTGAAATGATAGAAAGTTGAATGTTTACCTGTAGCTGCAGATCTGTAGCTCGCTGGTCTGAAAAGAAAAATATTGGATGGACGACCAGAGAGCTACAGAACCACCCATTGAAAAAGGTTTTCTCGATTTATTTCTCCGTAAATTTAATCTGCTATCTCAAAATATTGCTAACCGTGTGTTTCTAATATATTCGTTTACTAATTCCACAAAAAATCCATCTTTGGAGTCTTAAACTGACTCTTTAAACAAAATATTAGATCTCTCAGTTGATTTCATTTTGATACGCAAGAGCATGCTCTACGTATGAACAATTTCTAAAACGAGGTAATTTATTGAAAAACAAGTTGATGAAACAAGAATATCAACAGTCTCGTTTAAAGTCATCATTTCGTAAGTTCTATGGTCGATACAATGACCTTGTCAGCAAATACAATTTATCATTAAGACATATGCTGACTGACGTTTTTCATACTAATTGTTAGGCCATTATTTACACACTGAATTGTCGACGGACTTTTCCGTTATTTACCGATCACGACAAGGAGCACACGGCGGGTGTGACCGGTCGGCAGAGGATGCTCACTCCTCCATGAACCCTGATCCCACCTCTGATGTTTTTGGAGGTCCGTGTTTGCTCTGCTCCCGATTTGTATTGTTTTAATGGACTTTGAGCTTGAATACTGTTCGTTATCTCCATATTTCATTCTTATACTTGTTGATACTTTTGTACCATTTGCTAATATTTGCCCGATTTCCGAAGTGTATGAATGTCCCTTGTCGTGGTGACGGAACTTGTACACTATGCTACACTAGTTCAGATTTCTTCACACGCGGTGTAAAAATTTTACTTATAATCAATTCAACTAAAATTAGATTGGCTAAATAACGAGGTTGGATCCTGATATTTAAAGTCTTAAACTTTTTTGGTCAAGTATATTTTTAGTTTCTACACACATAGCTTAATTAAAAATCAAAACAAAAAATGGGGGTCAATACGCTTCTTATGGCGCTACAGTACATTTAATATGACCTTTTTGCACTGAAATTTATGTCTTAATCAAAAATCACATCTTCGACGTTTTCCCTCCAATGTTTTTATCCAAATAAATCATGGGACAAATTAAACTATTAGTCTATTTGAAAAAAGACACTTAAAAATTGTGACTAAGAAAAAGTTTCAAATTGCTTCGCATAATCAATTATTTGACCTTTCTGCACTCAAAAAATGTGATTTTTCTGGCATTAAAAATTTAACAAGCAAGAAAATTATTTTAAAGTCTTAAACTTTTTCTGAATTTAGGCAGATTAATCAAAGTTATCTTATATATTCAGAAAATAAAAACAAAAGTGGGGGTCTATGATGTAAATTTTTAGATATTACTAAAAAAGTGTTAATTTTATGTTAAAATTGGCTAAATTTTTTCCTGGAGTTTCAGAATATATTTACTATATTTGTCACAATATAATGAAAGAATTCATAAGAAATAATTTAATAAGTATTTCAGAACCAGCATAAAATATTTCACTGCAAAAAACAGCTCTGTGTGATCATTTTCTCCTAAGAAACCTTCCGCCACAAAACATAGTTCCTGGCTTAATCCTCTTTGAATGGAATTTAATCGCGGTTTTTTCATTGGATAAAGTTTAATTTGCATTGTAGAATTCAGATTTAATGTTTGAACTTAAAAATGATGCAGAATTTTATAAATAAAGGTCCAGACCAAAATCTGCTCAAAAGCTCAGGATCGAACCTCTTTAAAATTAGATGTTTTGTTTTTGAATAAAAGTTAATCTTTTAAAAATTTTATTCAATATAAACTTACGAAACGATAGTACGTCGAATTATTTTGCCACCCAAAATGGCATTATAAATAGGCGAAATTATCGATGTCTCAATTACGGACCCAGGAGGGCTATTAAAAAAAGGTTATAAGGAATGTTTTGATGTGGAATTAACACATGGTTAGTAATATTATGAGATGGCACTTAAATATATTAGGAGAAATAAATCGAGAAATATGAGCACTTTTTGTGCGCAATAAATAGGTCCAATATTTTTTTTTCATTTGGTAGATCTGTAGCTCTCTGGTCGTCCATCCCAATTTTTTTTCAGACCAGCGAGTTTGCAGATCCGCATTTAGTTTACCTGCATCTCAGAGGGATCTAATTTCCTAAAATTTCATGACAAAGAATAGAGTCATTTATAAAAAATTTTTTTACAATTTTTTTTTCGTTTACCATAATGCTTTTTTTCAAAGCTTCCACAGACAGGGAGAGATTTTCGTCTACTTCAATCTGTCGAAGGATCACCGACCCCAGTGAACAAGCCTTTTGGACACATATATTAGCCTGAAATATTTAGAAAATAAATTGATAAATCATTGCATATCTTGGTACAAATAGTTCATGAATAATTACTGCAATAAAAACTCTTCAAGTTAAAAGGAATTAAGTCCCGAAAATAGATGTCAAGTGTTTAAAAAAATGTCATTGATACTGACGATATGTTTTTTTCTTTACACAAAGACATACATGTAGCATGGACGTAGGAACGGGGGGGGGGGCATGCCCCCCCCCCCATAATTTGGCCGATATATAGATTACTATAATAAGCATAGATATTATATGCTTGTGCCCCCTCAATAAAAACATCTGATGACCTTTTGTTTTTGCTTGTCAGGAAATTTTTGGTAGTGCCTTCTCAACTGTCAACTGAAAATGTATGGCTGTGCCCCCCCCCCCCCCCCCCCAAACTGAATTTGCTTCCTACGGGCCTGTGTAAAAAATATGCTATAAAAATTTGTAAAACAGTTTGTACAGGCTTTATTATTGCTAAATAACATATTTTTCTCTCAAACCAGGATTATTTTTTCATTCTCCCCAAGTCTATACTGTTATATGTATTTTGAAATTCAGTGCAAATCATGAAAAAATGAAATCCATCGAAACAAATATAATTTTACTTTAATTCTAACATGTAAGAGATTAATTTGAATTTTAACACACACACACAAATAGATAAATAAAAAGTTATGACAAAACCCCCGTTTTCTCAGAATACGAAATGTTTAATATATGTCTGTGGGGCTTCCAAGTAAAAATACAAATTTTTTTTTTAAAATTAATATTGATTAATTATTAATAAATTATTAATAAAAAAAGTAATAATTAATACCCCGGTATGTAAAAGTGCACCAACATCATATACAATTAAAAATGTAATAGAGATATATTGAAAACTAATTAAATGTATAAAGCAGAACAGCATCGGCTATGTTTTGTAAACAGCACATTCATCTTAACTGTCAAATGTAGATACCAAACAAGAGATGTAGGCAACAAGCCGAGGCGCCCTCTCCGCTGTGTTTTGTTGTGCATGACGTTTTGCAGCGGAAAGTGCCAAGAAGATACACTCGCTTCCGGAACCCTACAATGTCATTTTGTATTACTTACACTGAACTTTATATTAATAACAAAGATGCAAATGAGGAATATTTAAAAATTCTAACGGAGAACTTAATAATGATGAACTTAATTTTTAACATATATAAATACTGGGGGAGGGGGGGGGGGCACTGAATCAGTTTATGCCACAAACATACTGACCTGAATGGACCCCCCGCCTTCTCCTCCCTCGTGTAAAAACTGCTTCGGTAGAGAGACAAGTTTACCTGCAATGAAACAGGGACATTCGAAATATCCCAATTATCGGCAAATTACATTTTATTTGCAAATTCTTGACCCTACGTCACCTAACCAGTCTGTGACAACCATCTCCAACTCCGTGCAAGCAGGACTTATGGCCTGGAATTAAAAAAAATGTATGAAAAACATGATAATGAGTATGTGTTTGGTTGAAAGCAGTGTTGTGATGCTGATGTCTGTTGTAAATTTTGAATTTACCGGATGGAAGTTATTTTTATTTACTGCCATACGGAATATTCAAAATTTACATGGCAATAATTCATCACAGGTACTTGTGGACAGGACCCCCTCGAATATACCCCACAGGTCAAAAAATATTTTTATGTATTTTTTTCATAAAATATTCCTCTAGTACATATTTACAATGCATTCCATAAGAAAAATCCAAAAAATAACGCAGAATTAACGTTTTACTAAAAAAATCATACCCGAGGTATAATACCATATCAAGGTGGGGGGGGGGGGGGTTCCGGACCCACCCACCCCGACACCCCCTCTAGATCCGCGCATGCCTATGATAGCAAGAAAGAAAAATTATTCAGAAATTTTTAAACGGTGAAGGCGAGGAAGAAATAAATAGGAGGAAGGAGTATTTCTTCTTAAATATAATACATTTAATTTCCAGATTTCCTTACAAGCAAATAATTCAATAGCTTTTTTGACGGGGGAGAGATTGAAGGCTTATATAACGTCAAAAAAAGGGGGGGCTTTTAGTAGGATCCTGAGTAACATTTGTTGGTATAAGTATTTATACCAGAAATACCATTACAAGGCATTAATTTTACTCTTTGTATAGGCAAAGGGGGAGGGGGGCACAACCCATCAGAAATCCCAAGTAATAAAAAAAAGGTCACAGGCGTCATTATTGAGGGAGCACTACTCTATATAATATGTTGGCAATTTATTGGAACCCCCCCCCCCACCACCACCACCACCACTACCACCACCACCATCACCACCAATGTTTTTACAGATCTAACATTACCCATTTAAAACGATATAAATAATACACATTATTATGACATATAAGAAATTCACAAATACAGGTGCCTTTCATAGGGAATAAAGAAGCACTGAAAGATTTCACCTAAGGCGAAAGTTATGCTATTATAATTTTCAGTAATATTTTTCTAGTATAAATACATATACACTGTACCAACAAATGCTAGTCCCAAGACCCTACTAAAAGTTTGTTCTTTTGTCGTAAGTACCCCCCTCCGGTCGTAAAAACAGCTATACAAAGTATTGAATTATTTGCCTGCAAGGAAATTTGGGAATTAGATTTTTTTAAAAAGGAAACACTCCTTCTTTCGATTTACTCTTTTCTTGCCTTTACAGTTCCTAAATCCGCTTTTTTTCTTATCATTGTAAGAACTAGCTTACTCTCGATTCCCGTCTACATTTTATACCCATTAAATTCAATATTCATGGGAATTTGGCCATTAAAACTTGTTTGAATGCAAGGAAAAGTTCATTAGTAATGGATGAATAATTCTTGAACCAGTGTCAAAAAGCTAATTGCTCTTATTTACTTTTCATTTTATAAGGGGGGGGGGGGGGGGTGAGAAAATTTTATCGATTGAAATCAGGCTATAAATCATCACCAAATTTTCAATTACTCATGAAATGGATAAATAACCCATGAATCTCTCCATATGTTTAACTTATGTAAAATTCAACATACATTGTATCAGATCGATCAAGAACGTTTTTTTTTTGTTACTGTAGATCACCAAATTTTCGCGACACCTTATTTTCGCGAGATATGTATTTTGTATTCATAAGCGAAACAAAATTTTCACGAATTCTCGGTTTTATTGTATATAATATATACTTAGTCTAACAAAAATTTACGCGAGAATGACATTTTCGCGAGCAGACCGTCTCGCGTAATAACGCGAAAATAATGTTCTCACGAATAAAGAGTGATTTACAGTATCTTATCTGAATTTGTTAATAAAGTACATGTGACTATTTTTGCTGTTTTTAGTCTGTACCCCCAGTCTCCCCCCCCCCCCCCCCCGTGAAACAACAAAACCTTTGCTATAAATTTGTTAAATAACAATTCATAATACCTGTAAAAAATTGTTGTTTCACGATGGGGGGGGGGGGGTGAATAAATATCCGTGTTCCGTTGATTTGTTTAGTGATATATATATATATATATATATATATATATATATATATATATATATATATATATATATATATATATATATATATATATATATATATATATATATATATAAAATCACACAAATATGTTAAATCTTGAACATTGCGTTGGAGGTAGGTCGCAGTTCTTTTTCTTGCGATCATAAGATTTATTCAAGCATGCGTATTAAAGATGTTAAGATATCAAAAGAGGCAATATCATCTATAAGCACTGGCAGTTGGTAGTAAGCAGTGAGCAGTTGGCTGTCGTATATGGAATTCCATAAGAATCGGTACTTGCATTAATGTTTTCAAAATAAAAATATTTTACATTCATGTCATTTACTGCTGTTTGAAACAGCGTGGGCACGAAAGCCTCTGTATCCCTGCCAAATAAAGCAAGATTTAATACAAAAGACAAGTTTCAACTGTAGGAAATTTTTTTTGAGAATAAGAAAAATTTAACTACGTGCATTTACATGCATAAAACACAGGTCCAAAAGGAACTGCAGAATTCCTTCTTTCTTCTTCTTGTGTGTGTGTATGTGTGTGTGTATTACCCTCTCCCCAAACCAACACTGCTGTGCTCATCTCAAAACAGAAAAGACTTTCTGAATGTATCTGAATTTAGTACGGTAGTTGTGAAAGTGTTAATCTGACTTACCCAAGATGTCGAGATGCCTCCGATTCCATCAGACAACATGGTACCCAGAATTGAAGCGAACGAGTGACCAAGAGGGAAGTAGGCATTAAAGAGTGGGTGTTGATGATGTAAAATCTGGCCAATAAATATTCAGAAAGTTGTGATATTAACTTTAAATGCAGTAGGAATTTAGGGAAAAAAACAAAGGTCGATTGCTTAATGAGGTAGCTAGAGGCAAACTCATTTCAAGATATACATTTATACACTAACTTTTACATTTTCAAACGTCTTTGTCCAAGAAAAAACTACATATAAGCAATTAGCCTTATATCTTCATAAAGTCATTTGCTCATCACGTGACATAACTGCCTTCTCGCTTGGATATTTGATAATTGAATACAAATAACGTAAATATCTCTTTTTTTATCAAATAAAGGATCAGGTAAAAATGCTAATTTTAAAACAATGAATAGATGCCTGATTTTTTTAAAATTGTTTTACATGTATGTTGATGTTAAAATAGTTTGCCCACGTGATAATTTTTTGCCTTTGGCGTTTAAAAAAATCACGTGAGCAAACTATTTCATCACATAATAAAACCAAAAAAGAAAAAAAATTAAAATAAAAACAGTTAAGTGTTATTCCTTAATTGGGTACATTGCATTTTCATGCCCTTCATCAGAAGGATTTAATTTTATGCTCATGAATTAGATGCCACAATAATATTTCAGTTTGCCTGAATTGGTAAGACCGCTAAATGATAAGTTTGAAGATCTTAAGTTGAAAATGTGAAAAATTAACGAAAGTATATAGTATGTATTCTCTAAGCATTTCATCAGCCATTTGAGATAATTTAGGGATATAAGAGACAGTTATCCTG